GCCTGGCCTGAGGTTTGCCGCTGATCAGTTGGCTCTTAGGCATGGAGTTGACTGGTTACCAGTACAGCCCAGAAAGACCTAGGTTTGAGTCCCAGTTCCGCCACTCATTGTTGTAAAAGTTATTTAGAGGTCGCGTGCTTCACTTTCCAAATCGATGAAAGGCTGGTAATAATTGCATGCATCCCACGGGGTTGTTTGACGAATTGAAGGAGATCTAGGAAGTGTGCGTACCAGAGTGATTGCCGCAGCCATTGCGGGGACACGGCGGTCAGGTGCTACTGACTCTCGCACCCTACTTGGTCAGGACAAGAGATCCTTACGCTGGCTCACGCACTGCTCAGCCTCAGGGTCCTGTGACTCCCAGCAGTCACAGTCGTTTTCATATGTGCACATGGGTTCATAGTGCTCATGATATTTTTTGTCCTCACTCAAGGATATGTTTATTGATTTTAGAGAGAGAGGAATGGGGGGGATAGAGAGAGAGAGAGACTGATTATCTCCCATATACTCCCTGACCGGGAATTGAACCCACAACCTAGGTATATGCCCTGCACAGGAATCAAACCCACAACCTTTTTGGTGTATGGGACAACACTCCAACCCACTGAACCACCTGGCCTGAGCTGCCCATCATATTCTTGTGGAGTCTGTACTCCTTCCCTGGACACCAGTGACAAAGGCCCCGTTCAGTGGCCTCCACCTAAAAGGGGTGCTTACGGCTCAGCCCCAGCCAGAGGCCACTGTGTAGAGGTTTGGCCTGACTACTTGGGAATTGTGCTCAATGATTTGTTTCAAGAGAATCAGAAATCTGAATGTTTAGGTCCAATATCCTACATTGTGGAAGTCAGCTCCCTCTCTTCCTAGTTTCCTTTCTTTCTTGTTGTACATCACAGGGCACTAATGGCCATGGGCGGCCACATTAGGGCCCTAGTGTGAGGGCCTGGGCTCAGGGGGCACCTGCTCATCTGCAGCAGGTGTGGGCGGGGCGGGTTCTCAGGGAACTGCCGTTGAGCCCTAGGAGCACTTGTCTGGCGAGGGATACGGTGTGTGGGAGGTGTGACGGCCATGGAGCAGCAGGCCCCGCCATGCCAGGCGGCCCTGTCTCTGCCACAGAGGAGTCTCTTCGCCTCCTGGGGACCCCGTTTCCAGGTTCGTGAGGTGAGCCTGCTCGATTGGTCGGTCTCTACGGGCCCTTCCCACTCAGGCTCAGATGCGAATATTCTCATTGACCAACTCACTTTGGAAACTTTCAGGAAGCCTTTCTTTGTGATTCCAGAAAAATTGGCGTTTTTGTCAAAGGCGTCCCGGATGCCCATCTTCGGGAGCACGGTTTCCAGGTCATAGGAGGTAGATGTGGAAAACTTCGGGATGAACACCTCTATCCACCTGGGAGGAGGGAAAGGAAGAGGTGAGGGCACAGGCCTGGGTCCCAGCTGTTTCCAGGTGACGTTTCAGGAGACTGCTCCCGCGAGGCCCTGCTGGCTGCTGCTGAAGGGCCAACACATGCCCGTCAGCTAACCAGGCTGTGCTGGAGGGGAGCCTCCGGGATGAGCAAGCCCAGCCCTGAGGAGGGCAGAGATGGAAAAGAGGCCCCTAATGAGGGAGGGCAGAGCAGAGAAGGGGCCTCAACCAGGGACCCTCTGGCAGAAGCCACGGGCAGTGACGGCAGTGAGCCTGCCTCCCCGGGCCAGATGCCGCCCACCGGCCCTTCTGGAGACAAACCCTGCTGACCCTCAAGAGCAGCCCAGTCCAATAGAACTTTCTGCGAAGTTGGAAATAGTCTCTGTCTGTGGTGTCCAGTATGGCAGTGACCAGCCAGCCACATGTGGCGATCGAGCAATTGAAATGCAACTAGTGCCAACGAGGAACTTCATTTTTAAGTTTATTTTAATTAAATTTAAATAACCACCTGTGGCTGCTGGCTGCAATGTTAGACAACACAGCTCTGGATTTGGCACTTCCCAGCCCCCTCGGCAATAGTTTCCCTGAACCAAGAGTGAACAGCCCGCATTTATTGGGCATTTACTATGTGCCAGGCATCGTCTCAGGCACATTCACGAACTTATCTCCATTTTAGTGATGGTAAAGCTTAATTTTAGTGCTTTGCCCAGTCATGTGCTTAACAAGTCACAGAAATGTAAGCACAGAGTGTGGGTGCTACTCACTGATGGGCTCCTGGTGACATCGAGCACAGTGGACGGCTCTCACTTCCCTGCCTTGGGTCTTGCACTGGCTTGGCCATCTTCATCTCTCTGCTCTGTCTCTACAGACATCCCACCCCCACCGCCACCTCCACGCTGGCTCCTCTGCCTCCATCCAGCCCTGGTTGCAAGCTCAGAACAGAAGAAACCTGAGGAACCTTCTGCAGTGTCTCTTGATCCCCAGCTGTACATCTTCCCTGGTGCTGTTTCCTTTGCCCGGTAGGCCTTTCCCGAGCTCTGTGAGCTGCCCACGCCCTCATGTTCTGTTCATTCTTGTGGCTCAAACGCACCACCTCCTTGAAGGCTCCCATCGCTCCAGCTGAAGGTCGCCTCGCTTTGCTCAGAAGCGGCTCAGCACTCCGCCTGCCCCCACCCCTGGGCATGGATCTTTGTCTTTTCTGAACTGTGTTGTCCCTGATCCTTCTTTTCTCTCCTCCTAGACCATGCCCACAATGCCAGGACAATATTGCTGAGAGATCAGACATAAGACTCCTTTTTATCTTATGGTTAACATCCCTTGAATACTACCCATAATTACAGAACTAATAATAATTTTATTATTAGCGAACATTTATTGGACACTTACTATCTCCCTGGCATTCTTCTAAGCACTTCATAAATAGGAACTTGTTTTATCTTTTCAACATCCTATGAGTTGAGTGATATTATTACCCTCATTTTGTAGGTGAGCACCAGTGCTGTGTGTGTGGGTCTTTATGGAATCCTGCCCTGGCGTTCAACATCGCAGTGGTGGATGGAGTAAGCTCAGCTAGCACAGAATAGCTACAGTGACAGAATAATTTCACAGAGGCATGTCGCGTCGTGGCCTTGGGTAATTCACTTCCCCTCTTGGAGCCTTGTTTCCTTGCCTGCGAGTGGGGGTGATAACACTCCTCATCCGCCAGTGACTGTGAGGTTCAAGTGAGAACACTGACGCACAGCACCGAGCCCCCTGCCTGGCAGGCAGTTGGTGCTCACTTGCAGGAGTGATGATCGCACAGCTGCTGTCGCGGCCCCTCCTCATCCTGGGATGTTCACCATCACCTGCCTCAGGCCCCAGCAAATTGACACAGGTGCCCACCTCTTCTTGAGTAAGTGGCTCCACTTCCTCAGGGTCCTGGAGGACAAGGCCTGCTCCAGCTGCCGCATCTTGCCTGGACTGGGGAGGACGAAGAGGGCCGTGCTGCCTCCTTTGTAGTCCATCTGCAGCACAGAGCAGTTCAGCTCTGGGTCCACTCCAAACGCCAACTGCTCCACCTGGTGCATCATAGGGACCTTCACCGTGGTCTTGCCCACCACAAACGGGTACATTTTACTCGTGTACGTCGGGCTAAAGGGCTTCTCCCACTTGGCTGCACAAAGAGAGGAGGGAAGTCTTGAGTCAGTGAGGTGAACAGCCAAGGATCTCTGAAAACTCACTCCAGCAAGACAATGGGCAACTCCCAACAATGATTAAAATTGCCTGCTCTAGAACTGGACGTTAACCAAATGCTTTCAGCAAACAGAACCACCCATTGAAGAAAAACATAAATTTTGGTCAGAATGGTCAGCTCTGTGGTATTTAACTTGCCCTAGTTCCACTGCCCACACCCTTGACAAATAACAGCCTGCCTTGGCGGTGAAATCCAGCCACCTGACAGCCACGGGGGGAAAGAAAAGGGGCCGGAACCTTTCCAGAGACTCGCTCTCAAAGAACTCTCATCATTTGAGCTGTCGTACGCTTCCCTGGAAGGCATCACTCACAAAGCTGTCTGTATGTGATCTGATTGGGAGCTCAACCAATGCAAAAAGCCCTGTCGTTTCCTTGGGGAAAATGAGTCAAAGATGGTTACAGGCACTGATAAATTGAGCAGCTTTCTGAGGCTCTAGGTAACAATTGATGAATCGAAAAGCTTAATAGGACAGATGGTGGAGGTGGTATTTGCAAAAATGACAGAGTAAGGACCTCTGCATAGTCACCCTTTCATAAAGGCAACAAGAAGAACTGGCAGAGATAGAACCAGCATTTTCAGAACACTGGTTATGTAGCAAAGGCTCCTAGTAATCTGGCGAGAGTCCATTCAAGAAAAATGGCTGAATTCCAATGAGAACAGTAAACTTTGTGGTGTTTTAACTAGTATTCGTCTCCTCCTTCTCTCTCTAGTTCAGCAGTAGCTTTGAAAAATAGCAGGCTGTATTCCCAGCACCGGAGGGAGAGGAACAGATATGGAGACATTTCAAAGCCTCATTCCCAAGGACTGATAATTATTTGACTGTCTGATAGTTTCCTGGACAGTCCCACTGCCTGGCTGCTCTGGCTCCTTCCCCTTGCCCACCCGGCATGACCCAGGGTGATGCCCGCAGCGAGTTCCACCAGGGGCCCATGCCCACACCCCGATGCTGGGCCAGTTCCACCACCTCCCTGGAGCCACTGACAAGTTGATTGGCGCTCACTCAGCTAAAAGCACGTCTTCCCCAGGGCCAGGGAATATTTCCCAGGAACAACTGAAGGCAAGTGTTTTAGCTGCTTGGTTGCCTGGCGCAGGATAACAGCTGGGACAAACAACAGACTAATCAAAAAGTCTAAAAGAAAAAGCTGAGGAAAGAGATGTCATGGAGACCGAAGAGCTCAGCATACCCTGGGCATTTAGATGCTGTGCACATGGGTAACGCGACGTGGATGTTTGAAAAAAATACATGAAGGCTGTGAGCTCTTCCCTCCACTGGACCTTGAAGGTCGGCACAAACAGAAACTAACGGGGACTCAGAGTTATAAACTGCCTTGATGAGTGTGGATGGCATGCCCCACCGTACACACAAAGGCCCTCTGCAAAGACTGGGCCCTCTGCTTATGTGTGCCAGGCCTTTAAGAAACCTCTGCCCAGTCATTTAAATAACCAAGAGGAGACGTCAGTGGCCGCACATGACCAAGAACAGACTTTAAAAATTAGTTCAGAAAAAGCACCAAACAGCTCCTGCCACAAGCAATGAGAACAAACCCTTGGCAGGGGCGCGAATCAGAATTTCAGAGCTGCCATATTACATTATTTTAAAAATCCAGCCTTGACAACAAAACGTATTTGGCATAAAGAGAAACTAAGTATGGACCATACCCAGGAGTAAAAGCAATGTACTGATACCAGAAACGAAAGAAGGAACACCACCACAGATCCTATGGACGCGAAAAAGAAAATAAAGGAATACTATCAACAACTCTCTACCCACCAAGTTGATAACCTAGATGAAATGTCCCATTCCTTGAAAGACACAATTTGCCAAAACTCACATAAGAAGTAGTAGACAATGTGAATAGGACTACATCTATTAAAGAAGTTCATAGTAATAACTTTTTAAAACAAAAAAAGTTACAGGCAGGGGCAAGAGATATGGTCCTTTCTCTCAAGGTCATTTCTAGAAAAAAAAATTTCCCATGGGTTGCCCACCGAGCCTAATGTTAGCCCCTCAGGACACATAATCAGGCTACACAAGGACACCTGAATGAGCCCATTGCACTTGATAAACTGAGATGGCCAAGGTCGTGCACCCAGCTAGTTTCAGAGCTAGTTCCAACGTGGCCTCCCCTGCTCCACCCGCTGTCCAGGGTCTGTCTAGCTTGCTTACTTGCCTGGGCTTGGGGAGGAACAATGTTAAAATCAAAATCAACCTCTCAGGGTCTCACCGTCAAAGAAGATGTAGTTCACCAGGACCATGGCTGTCTGAGGTTCAAGGTCCTGAATTAAGTCTACAACCTTCCCTTTGGTCTCCTTCTCCACATAGCTGTTGATCCTCTTCCGGGCGGTGGAGCTGTCGGAGAAATCCGTGGGGGAGACCTCCGACCCGTACAGCCGCTTGGCGTTGTCCAGGAAGCTTGTCTGCAGCTGCAGCTCCCTTTTGATGAAGAGGACACTCCCCATCCTCAGGTCCAGGTCCTCGCTGGGGACGCCGAGCGCGTGGACCAGGTGCTGGAAGCCTTGCTGCACGGCGGACTCGGGCATGCGCGTGAGGTTGAACCCCAGGCTCTGGAGGAGCTGGCTCTTGGTGGCCGAGCGGGCCCCGAGGGAGAGCATGGCCAGGGAAGCAGAGACGCTCACGGGGGAGAAGAAGATGTTCTCACTCGGGGTCTTCAACACCAGCCTCCGGTACAGGCGGAAGGCGAAGTCGGTGTTGCTGGCGGCCACCTGGGAGGCAGGGGTGCTTCTCGCGGAGGGTGGGCGGGGGGCTCCTTTGCTGGGGGGACTGGGTGGGGACACACAATACATCAGAGCCCAGAGGCTAATAACTAGGAAAACTTGATAAAAGGAAGATGCCATTTTGGGACGAAGTAAGCCTGCGAGAGAGGGAAGAACATTGGGGAGGTAAGCCGAGCGTCTGGCTCCTGAATCGGAGGCCATGCAACCCTCCGCACCAGGAGCCATTGAATGGGGACAAGCAGGACACTTAGCAGCTCCCAGAGAGGCTGGAGAAGAGGGGGTGGTGTGTGTGTGTGTGGGCGGGGGGGGCAGACCGCAGAATCAGCTGTGCAGCGTGTGGCTGGATTCCTGTCTCTGGGGCCCGCCGGAAGGTTGATGCGGAGCCTGCCTCAACCCCAATGGCATTTTCAAGGACGATGCGGGCAGCTGCGCCGTCATTATCGCTCTGCTCACCTGGAATGGCCGGAGGTGAGCGGAGCGCAGTATTGGAGCTCACTGGGTGCCGGTGCACGGACCTGAGCTGGCAAAGCCTGGGCCCGTGTCTGCACAGGGAGGAGGGCAGTGAGGAGGGAGGACCACGGTGCGAAGCCCCGAGTGTCCCTGTTGATGAGCTGGGGTCTTGGGGAAGCCATACGGGAATGTGGGCCTGCAGGACCCCTGTGGTGGGCGGGGGTCTGCTGTGCTGACGTGGATAGTAATGACTGGTCACAGCGCTTGACCATGAGTGAGTGGACCAGGTGCCGACCCAGAGTCAGAGCCCAAGCAAGACCACGCATTTCCTCACAACCTCACAACGTGCTGTGTCTGAGGAACATCCTGCGTCGCCCCCTTCCTCCCCACTTCCCCAGCTGCAGAGGAGGGTGGCTCTGAGGAAAAGCGAGCCAGTCTGTGTGATGCCCACAGTGGGCATGGGAGGTGGGAAGGGACAGGCCTGCCCTGGGTGTTCATAACTGTGAGCAGGGACGAGGTTGGAGGAAGAGACGGCCAGCGGTGCCCTGGGGCAGAGAAGTCCCGCAGGCCTGGGGTGGGGCATCGCAGAGCACCTGTCCCCTCTCTGGGGAGGCGTGGTGGGAGTGGGGGATCCCAGGGCACCTGCTAACACCGGCTCTGCCTCCCAGAGCATCCCCCTTGCCGTCAGCAGACGTGGCCTTGCTGGAGGACATCTGGCTCTGTGCCCAGTCCTGCTGCGCGGGACGCCTGGGCTGCGGGGGCGGGGAGGGGGGCCGCCTGGACCAGTCGCCCTCTGGGCTCAGCTGGTGAATGGCTGGTCCTGTCCTCCTGTCGTGGCCTGGCCTCCACGTGATCTCAGGCAAGTGGCTGATGCTCTCTGGGCCTCAAGGTGGTGGCCTTAAGGGGCTTCCTTCCTGGGCAGCTGGGGTTCCACAGCCGTGGGCTCAGAGGCAGGTCCTTACCCTCCCGAGGTCAGGCTCAGCCCAGACTCCAGGCAGCTCTCAATCTGCTTCCATACTCGGCCTCTCTCACCGAGCTCTGGCCTCCCAGGGTCACCCCTTCTGTCTCCCAGGGCTTGCCTGTGGCCTGAGGCTCTGCAATCAGGGTGACAGGGACACTTTGTCCTCCCTGTGCCCACCCCATCTGCACCCCTCCCTGCGGCTGCCACTCCTGGGGTCCACCTGCCATTGTCTCCCACCTGCTCAGTTCCTCACTGGTCCAGTCACCCCTCCGCCCTGCAGACAGGTGAGCTTTCCAGATGCAAACCTCATGCGTCACTCTCCCACTCGGATTCCTCCGTGGCTCCCACTGGCCTTGGGAGGGGTGCCCAGGCACCCGGCACATCAGTTCTCCCTGGGCCCCGAGTAGTCCCGCCTCACCCTCAGGCAGAGCGGATCCCATTTCCTGGGAAGGCGGCATTTCGAGGTCCACCCGCCCCTGCTTTCATGGGCCTTCCTGTCCAGCTTGGGTATCAGAAGGCTTCACTCCATCCCAACCCCCTCCACACCCGGGGCCTTGGTGGCTGTGACAATGGCAAGGCCCTTGGCAGGCAGTCTGGTCCACGGCGGTCGCCAAGCTCCTGTCTCCCTCTGCTGCTGCCATGGCCGCCGTGCCCACTGCCCACTGCCTGTGGGTGGATCGCAGCCCTTTCCATGTCCTGAGCATGGGCTCCCCCTTATGTGGGTGTGCACACCGACACCCGCCGCCTCCCCCACACACACCGGTGGCCTTGCCTCTTGCCCCCATTGAAGAGAGCCCGTCAGAAAAGGAACCTCCTCCACCAAGGACATACAAGTTGATTCCAATCCTATCAATCTCTATTCCAAAGGTTAGGGCGTTTCTTATCTCCATTCCAGGGACGAAAGATTATGTAGCTTAAGCATGAATTCCTCCTGGAACCAGAAGCAGCCCTCATCTCCGCCTCAGGGCCCTTACACGTCCCTTGTCCGCATTTATTTGTTTGTTTGTTTTATAGTTTAAAGAATCACAGATGTCTCCTTTTTCCCCCATCGACCCCTCCCCGGCCACTCCCACCCCCAGGTCAAGCCCCCAGCGCCCCAATGTTTAACACCCCCCGCAAACAGCTCCCTGCAGGGGATTTTAAAGTCCTGCCCATCAAGACAACCACCAGTGACACAGCCAAGAGCTCATTCCCTTCTCGCTACTACCCCATCTTTTTTCTATTTTTAAGATTTCTTTTTAATTAATTTTTTTAGAGAGAGAGAAGGGAGAGGGAAAGGGAGAGAAACATCAATGTGAGAGTGAAACAGTGATCGCCTGTCTCCTGCACACCCCCTACCGGGACCGAGCCTGCAACCCAGGCATCTGGCATGCCTGGGAATCGAAGCAGCAACCTTTTGGTACCTGGGACAGCACCCAGCCAACTGAGCCACACCGGCCAGGGAAACTCCTGCCCTATCTTCACCTGCATTAAATTTGCATTTATTTAAATACATTGTATTTGGGGTACCAAATCTTCATGAGCTGCGTGGTCGTGGCTGCCATGGCCTCGCCTCCCACGCACTCCCTGGCCCGCTCCACTCTGGGTTCTGATGCACAGAAATGGGCCCTGCCCAGGGACGTGTGTAGGCTCCCATCTTACCTGACTTCTCAGTAGCACTTGGCACTGGAGACCACCCTCAGCCGCTTACCCAGTCCCCCCTTCGGCTCCGTGACACTGTGCTCGCCTGGATTTCTCTCTCGGTTCCTCCCCTTGGTCACCTTTGCTGGTGTCTCCTCTCCTGCCAGGTCCTTACGGGCTCAGCACCCAGCGCCCGGTCACACTCTCCTCGCTTTAATCTCTCCTCCCTCAGCGGCTGGTCTGTCCCTCACCACCCGCTGCTCTATAACTAAAAATGCAAATGACTTCCTTGAACCTCCAGCCCAGGCCTTTGCTCTGAACTCCATATATGTAACCACTGACTTGGTATATCCTCCTGATGTTGCAAACAATCCTTAAGCTCAGAATCACCCACGCCGAACTCACCTACCCCAACACCATCTCGCAACAGAAGTTACCACTGACACCTCTTTCAGTGTCTTCTTCCATGGCGCCACCACACACCACCCATCCGCACCCCTCCACCCCTCCTTCTTCCCATGTCCACACACGCCTCTCCCGGTGCCCCAGCGGCCTCTCCTCTCCTTCCCAGCGTGGGCAGCGGCATCTCTCACTGACCTGCGTGGTCTGGCCTCCGTCGGCCCCTCTAACTTCATCACCCAACTCAAAGGCCCTTGCTCTGGGCTGGGCTGCTATGCCAGCCATTCTGCCCGTGCTTATGATCCTCATGGAGTGTTCCTCCTTCCCCCTCCTCAAACGTTCCCCCTAATTGATTTTTATTTATTGTTTAGGTCCTAGCTCGTGTGAATTCCTCAAGGAGGCTCTCGTTGACCACCCAGGTAAGGGAAATTCCTGCTATTAAATGTTTTTTAGTACCATGCGCCTCAATGAAACTCCACTGTCATAATCTCCCATTCATTTGTGTGACTGGAAATTTAATCAAGTGGTTGCCTATCTTGTTCTCCCTGTACATCGCTGTATGGCCAAAGCTCAGGGCTCAGGGAGTGTTTGATGAGTGAACGAATGAGTATGGGAATGTAAGTGAGTAATTTACCTCTGAGGGTTGATCTGACTGGAAATGAGCAAGAGAGACTCTTTCAAGGTCTCTTAGTGCTGATGCAGGTGAGAGGTATGTACACGTATGAAATTCGAGTTGACTTACACTTCTGGCCAAGACAGTAACTGCCTTTGGACTTTTAAATCATTAGAAAATTTTCTAAAACAATCGAGATACTGAAGAAAACAAGAAGAAACAAGCAGACGTTGGGCAGCGCGGGCGGAGAAGGGAGGCGCGCGGGGGACCCTGTGAACGCCCAGTCGCTGCCCAGGGCGCTTTCTGACCAGGGAAGGAGCCCAGGCGGCAGGCTCCCTGGGCCCAGGAGACGGCACTGTCTGAGGGAGCCCCGGAAGCCCAGCTGAGCCGCGGCGGCGGGCGTGAGCTTCAGACCAAACCGGAGCTGAGCTCTGCGCGCATAAACCCTCCGCGGCTACCCCCAAAATAAAAAATGAATCCCCGAAGCCCCCAAACCAAGAGAAGGAACTACTGGATGTACGCGGAACAACCCTGAGTTCACATAACGTGGGGAGATATTTAGATTATGGTCAGCGGGGTGAGGAGACCTCATTGGATACCTGGGGCATTCAGGACAGAGCCTACTTGCTGCCTCTTGAGGTTAGGGCTAAACTGACTGTTTTAGAACTACTCTGGCCCGGCCGGTGTGGCTCAGTGGTTGAGTGGTTGGAGGTCACAGTTGAATTTGCAGTCTGGGCACAAACCTGTGTTGTGGGCTTGATCCCCAGTAGGGGGCGTGCAGGAGGCAGCGGATCAGTGATGCTCATCATTGATGTTTCTATCTCTCTCTCCCTCTCCCTTCCTCTCTGAAATCAATAAAAAATTTTTTTTAAAAAAATGTCTTCCTGTTTCAGAGGAATGTGCCTAACCGGTTTGGCTCAGTGGAAAAACCCTAACTTAACTCTGGTGCCGTGTCACATGTAGAAATTTTTTGATATTTGCAACCATAGTAAAGCAAAGATTTATATTTTTGATATTTATTTTATGTATTTAAATGCCATTTAACAAAGAAAAATCAATGAAAAAAAATGAGTTCGCGTGTTACCTCTGACACGCACGTCATAAGTTCGCCATCACTGCTCTAGATACACTAACAAGGCTTGAAAGCATGCAAGTACCTGGTAATTTAGTTGACTGTCAAAACAGGTGTCAACACACTAGAAAGAAAGGTAAAAAAAATCCAGACCAAAAAAGGGGAATGTCACAATGACCAGCATCCAATACAAAATTGCTAGATGTTTTTGTTTGTTTGTTTGTTGTTGTTTTTTTTATATATATTTTATTGATTCCCTACAGAGAGGAAGAGAAAGAGACAGAGAGTCAGAAACAGCGATGGGAGAGAAACATCGATCAGCTGCCTCCTGCACATCGCCTACTGGGGATGTGCCCACAACCCAGGTACATGCCCCTGACCAGAATCAAACCTGGGACCTTTCAGTCCGCAGGCCGACGCTCCATCCACTGAGCCAAACCGGTTTCGGCTAGATGTTTTAATAAATATAAAAATGTGATCCCAGACCAGATGGAAAAATCAGTCAATAGAAACAGACCCAGATATAGCTGGGATTATGAAACTAACAGGCAAAAACTGTAAAACATCTACTTAAAATATGCTTAAGTAAAGAACACTGTAATATCATGTGAGAAAAGTCAAAACTATGAAAAAGCATCAAATCAAACTTTCAGAGATGAAAATTTCAATATCCAAAATGAAAAACTCACTGGCTAGGTTTAAGAGAAAAGGTATAGAAGAAAAGATCAGTGAGCTTGAAGACATAGCCATAGGAACTATCTATGGAGAGTGAACTGGGGGGAAAAAAATAATAGCAGAGCCCCAGCTGCCTGCGGGACAACAGCAGGAAGTCTACCGTGGGCAGTTGGCGTTCTAGGCTAAAAGGGGCCAGGGAGACCAGAGAAACTTTTGAAGAAATAATGACCAGAGGCATTTGTAACTCATTCTGTGTAAAGTGTATCTAATAAAAAAGACCAAACACAATAAAAGGGAGTGAATGTGGCCCTGCCCACCCCCCTTGTTGGGTCTCACATGATTCCGTCTCTAGATGGCCCTCCCCACTCACCCACCTGGCAGGCCTTTCCACCCTGCGGCTCCTTCTGCATCGCCCATTCCAGAGACTTCCCGAGCCCCACAGAAATCCCGCCCTCCCTGGAGTAGACCACACCTGAGCGTCTGCTGCAGTTTACCTTCCTGTGTGTCTGTCCCCGACCAGATCGCCTGGACCTTGTGTGACTTCCTCTAGAGCAGGGACTGTGATCAGCGAGTGATGGGATGAGGGAACAGAATGCCGGGAGGGTGTGGGAGGACGCTGGAACCCTGAGGGCCAGGCTCTGTTGAGTCACCCACCCCCGGTACGTGAAGCAGTTGGCAGTCTGAATGAGTTTAGGGTTTCCCAAGCTTGGTTAATTGTCCAGAGAAACTGGTCTCATTAAAGTGCAGATTCCCAGGCCCCACCAAGAGCTACTGAGTCACTTTCCAGGGAAAGACCAAAAGACTTGGGAGTGAGGGGACCTGGGTCTTCCTGCCCCCCAAGCTCTGCCCTTGCCCCCCTGAGAGCAGCTCCCCAGGACTCCCCCCCAGCTCGGAACTCCTGTTCCTGGGACCTCAGGGCCTCCCGGAAAGGAAAGGCCGTCTCTCCAGTTGATTGGACCCACCCAGCTCAATTGATTGGCGCAGCGGGAGCAGGCGCAGACCCCGGAGCCCCATCTTGCCTGTTTCTCAGAACCTCTCCGCCAGGGCAGCCCTGGCTAGTCGCCGCTTTTCCTGCCTCTGGAATCGCCTGCCTGCCTCACACACTTCTGTCCCACTGCTGGATTGTGGAGATCTTCATATCACTTTTAAAACCTGGCTACATCTTCATATTTTTCTCTCTTAAATTATTTTAAAATTTCACCTATATTTGCTGTTGATTGCGGAGCAGATTCGGTGAGATTAAGTGTCTTAACTAATCTCACAAACCAAACCTGGGCAGAGCGGGGCTGCGGCCTTCCGCCGGCCTGGCTCCGGGGCCTCCCAGCAACTCCAGCCCGTCCGGGACCCGGCCACAGTCCGCACAGGAAACGCCACGGCTTGAGCCCAGGACAGACGGAGGGTGCTAATGAGAACAACTGATGAAATCCAAATAAAGTTTATTTTTTAATTATTTATTTCTCCGTTACAGTTGACATTCCATTTCACAAAGCAGAGCAGGCCTCGGCCCCGGCTGCAGCGGTGACAGTCTCGGTGGAATTTAATCAGAGGTTTGTTTTGTGTGTGTTTATAGTTAACTTCTCTTTGTGGCAAGTCGTCTGGGTTTTCATATTAATTTTTCAGTTTAAACACATTTCTTTTGTTTTTCTAAAGCTGATTTAAAGGTCAACCTTGAGCAAATAATAGTGCAGAATCGACGAGTCTTCTGCCCCGGTCGTGGAAACCGTCCAGGAATGAGTGAAACCTGGAAAACGAGCAGCAGCAGAGAGCGCGTTTCCCAAAGAGAAAGGTGCCTTGGCCTTGCTCCCCGGGCTGGGCCCCGCTGGGACGAAGCTGACAGCCTGGGAATGTTCCCCCGCTGGGCCTGGCTGGAACGAAACCAGCCATGTGACCCCGAGCTCTCCCTGGCTTTTCCCTGCCGGGCACACCACCTGGCACGTAGTAGATGCTCAGTAAACACCCGGTGACTCAGTGGACACATGGAAAGATGCACGTGGAAGTGACACCGTGGCGCCAGCTGACTCCTGTCAGATGGGCCTTTGAACCCTGGCTTCCTGGCATTGGGCACTTCCACTCTTGGTTGGGGCTGAGCCCCTCCTGTCATCAAGAGCACCCCTGAGTGGCATCTCCTGGGCAGAGGCTCCAGGGCCGGTCATGCAGCAGAGCAGAGTCACAAGACTCATTGTCTCAGCAGGGAGCGCCACTCCCAGGAAGGCCGACCTGCCCACCGCAGCCCGCCAGCGCCTCTGGTCTCCCTGACCTGCTCCACTTATTGTTCCGATTTGTTTATGGGCCCTGTGGCCTACCTCTGCCCACAGCGTCCACAAGAACAGGAGCTCTGTACATGCTGTTCACGGCACAGGGCGACACTCAGCAAATATTTGCTGGATGAATGGACAAGTGTCCCAGCTCCGTGCTGCTTCGCTGCTTCCCGAGCCTCACTTTCCTCATCCGCCGAATGGGATGGTCACTAACTGGAAGGTCCGGCGGGGCACGGGTTGGAGAACGCACCTCCACAGGCTCGGCTGGGAGAGGCGTTCAGTGAGCCGGTGACGAGAAGTCAGGATCCACTTCCTGCTGGTCAGTCAGTCCACAGGCAGGTGGCCCGAAGGCTTCACAGAAGGAGAAGGGTGAGTGACACCTGAGGGGAACGGGTGGTGGGGGAGAGGGAGCGAGCAGAGCATCCGGTGGGGTGGAGGGTGGCCTGAGCAGAAGCGGGAGGCGGCTACACAGCGGGTGTGCCATGCAGACTCGGGTGAAGAGCAGGCCTAGCTTCCCTCCCAGAGCAGAGCCGAGGTCTGGAGGGGCTGGCGGGCTGGGACATGGGACTTGCAGCTCAGTCTTCCCTCACCACTGAGCCCTCACCACGATATGCACTGGGGTCCAGCCTCAGTCCGAGGGACCCTTACAGCAGATGAGTTTGCCTCGGTCACCCTCCAGCTAACACCGGCAGCAGCTGTCCCGGGTCTCCAGTGAGGCCTGCAGTCTCCTGTGGCCCGCAGGCCCGAACACCTCCCCGGCTCCCACCCCTTCCTGCCTCAGCCTGTTGCTCTGGCAACATGAATCTCATTTCAGGTCACTGTCCATGCCACCTTCCCACCCCAGGGCCTTTGCACATGCCGTTCCCTCTACTTGGTAGAGTCTCCCTCTGCCCCACCCAACTCCCCCCCCCCTTTTTTTCTTTCTCAGAATGAAAGTATGGCTGTGAAGTAGGAATTCAGCAGAAAAATAGTTAAGATGTGCAGTAGTCGCCTTTTGAATAAAGTTAGTTTAAAAGGAAGATGAATAAACCGCTAGAGCTTGGACTCAATTTCTGTTTGAAAGACAACCAGTACTTTAGGTATTTATTAAATCACAGCACTCCTCTGCCGCCGGGGGTGGGAGGTGGAGGGGGTGGTAGGGATTACTGCCAGCCTGGAGGGAGAAAGAGGGGAGTAGGTAGGGGGGTCTAATCCCAGGTGTGAAGGCAGGGAGGGCAGGATGGAAGCCTGGGCACCAGCAGTGCCGCCTGCATGGGCATGCTGGGAGCTCATGAGGAGGTGGGAGCGGGTGCCGGTGTCCCTGTGGTCGCAGCCCGGGGCCACGGGCTCTGCGCAGACTGCACCCCTCCTTACGTGCCGGTGGGGTTAGTGATCTTCCCCAGGAAGAGCATGGTAGGCGTGAGGTTCTCCGCAATCACCAGCAGGAAGGCTCTGTTCAGCTTGAAGGTTAGCGGCCTCTCCATGGGCAGCGTCTGCATGCCGGAGCCCGCGGCCCCCTCCGCGCCCTTCTCGTCAATCCTCAGCTTGGCCTTGTGCACCGCCTGTGGGGACCGGAAGCGAGGTCAGTGTTGCCACGCGACTCGGAGACCCAGGTGAGCCAAGGACAGCGGAGGCTCAGGGAGAGGCCGCAACCGGAGTTGCTCAGCTCAGCAGTCACCCCTGGTGCTGCCTCCCGAACTCCCGCTGTCACCTGTCACACGAAAGGGTACTCAGCAAGGAGGTGCAGCGTGAGGGCACCAGGCAGGGGGAGCATCCCTGTGGGGCCGGGGTGGAGGTGCAGCGGGTGCTGTCCTTCCTGGGGATTACAGGGAAGACAGTGTCTTTGAGCCTCAGCTCCATGGATGGGAGGTGGTGTCCTGCCCGAGGCCTCTGGCCCCTCACTCTCCTCCGCCCACCTGGTGGGTGGTTGGTGGGTGGTTACAAAGGAGCCAGATGTCTGGGACCCCACATCCATCCCAGGACCATCAGCACCTGCGACCAGGTGATCGACACTGGGAAAGGGATGGGCTTCTGTGAAACGCTGACACATTTCATTCCATTTCACAGAAGACGAACTGCTCCCAGCGGGCCAGGAGCTGTGCCCACACAGGCTCGGCTGTGGGCTCCCCCGCTGCGGAAGAACAGGGCGCTGGGCTCCGTGAGGCCTGCAGGAGGGGTGGCTGGTGCGACCCTTTCTAAGATGTCTGCGCAGGGAAGTTTAAGGTGAGAAGACTCTATTAGCTCTTTTTCTTCGTTTTGCAAACTGGTCCATGCCTGCCCGATGGCCCTGACCTTCACACTCAGCACCAGACAGTCCCCACCTGACCAGCCTTGGGCCATGCGCTTCCCTCCTGGAAGCTCCCCGCCCGCGACCCCCGACTTCTGGGTGTTGAAATCTTTCCCCCCTCAGTTCCCTTTTAACCTAATAGGAGGATTGCTAGATAAAATATAGGCCATCCAGTTACGTTTTACTTTTAGATAAATGATGGAGTTTTTGTGTAAGTATATCTCAGGCACTATCTGGGACACACTTACACTAAAAAAAATCATCACTTATCTGAAATTTAAACTTACCTGAGTGCCCTATGTTTCATCTGCTAAATCTGGGGACCCTACCCCAAGTGTGCCTCTCTGCTTGCCCCCGACAGGCAGGTGCTCAGCCTGCTGGAGGCCACAGGCCCTTTGCTTGCTCATCTCATAATCATGCAGACCACGTGCACGACCTACTCCCAACAGGCCGGTGACGCCTTTAAGTGAGGGTCCGGCTCAGACCCAGACCTGTTCTAAGGCCTCATCAGTGTTCCGGGCCTTGAGCAAGTGTTTGTTGCACTGAATCGACTTCCAGAACAGCACCGGGAGCGGGTGCTCATTTCACAGCCTGAAAGCATGAGGCTGAGGAGGGTCCCGATCCCCCGGGAGCACATGGCTGGAGGGGCAGGGCTGGCATCGAACCCGGCCTGACCGTGGGTGGCGTTCCGGCTTGTTTGGCGGCTGGGATGGGGATCGGTGAAGGATGGGGGCCTGTGCCCCAGGGGGCGATGCCCAGGCCAGGCAGGCTTACCTCACCCACTTTCAGGCTTCGATTAGGGACTATCCTGATGAGATCGCCATGTTCCTGGAAGATTTTGGTGATGCCCAAGTAGGAGAGAGTCTTCTTTAGGTCGTAGGTGCCAGTGATGGAGAACCTGGGCAAGGACACGTCCACAACCCTGGGGAGCGTGAGGTGACAGCGTGAGGGCAGGCCCCAGGGTAGGTGGTGAGCAAGACATTCCTCCCAGATGTGGAAGCTCAGGCTGTTTCCTGACCCACAGAATGAGGGGGGGTTTCTCAACCCTTCATATGCCCCAGCCCCGAGCTGCCCTGACCCGGCAGGCCTGACACCAGCGGCAGTGAGGCCTGAGCTCCCAGCAGGCGGCCCCGGTCACAGCCACTCGGAGCTCATGCGCTCACTCTCTCAGCCACCGTGCGACCATGATGGTGCCCATGGTACCCAGGGCCATGAGTGCGCTCATGCCCGTGCTTGGAGGCGCTCGGCAGTCGGTGGCCAGCGCGTGCTCACCCCAGCCCAGGAGTTAGCAGCTGCACACCCTCC